AGGAAAATGCTTTTTAGGGATTACACAGCAATTTAAATAACATGCTGCCCTTGTATGGCCTGAAGGCAGAAAACTTCCAGTTCCTATAAAATCCGGGTCACACACAGAAAACCATATTGACAAGAACAACAAAAAAAATCAGGATATTGGGAAGTTTTCACAGACACCACAACTGAAGATCAGACTTGATGATCTTGGAGGTCTTTTCCAACCTAAATGAGTCTGGGATTCTGTGAGTCAGCCAGCCTGGGCTCCACAGAGATGGCACAGCTCCTCCAATGCCTGACTGTCCTCTCAAGGATGAATTTCTCCCTATTTCCAGCCAGATCCCACCTCTTTCAGCTTAGCCCCCAGATCTCCCGACACCCATCCACCACCAGTCTCCAACACCCCCCTCAAATAGTTTTCCTGGGGCAAAGCACATCCTTCACAGGCTATTTGTTGTTCCTGACACATGCAAGGATGTTAAAAACCTAAACAGGGCTCAGGCAAATGGGTCCTTATTAGTCCCTTCCCCTTTTTTTTCCCTCGGAACAGTGATTTGTGGTGTCAGGGACAAGATGCTGCAGGTTTTGTAGGTGTTGGAGCAGGTTCAGTCCTCGCCCTGCTGCCTGTGAAACCACAAAAGCATTAATTGGACAAATTCCAGCAGGAACCTCACACATACACACTCACAAGTTCATTACAGCCCCGCAGGAGCCACCTGGGAGCCTCGGGAAACTCCGTGTAAAGAGCAGGAGATAGACCTGGAATGAGTTAAGAGACTTGGAGACTCTCCTGCAACACAGGTTTGAGCTGTGCTGGATTTAGTGTGTGTTTGTACTGAAAACTGGTGGTAAAGCCCCAGCTGGCTCTGACTCCAATGGTGTGTGAATCCAGTAGCCCTGGGCTGAGAGGGATCAGTGGGATCAGGGATGGGTCAGCGGGAGGATAAAGGGTAGAACAAGGGAATTGTGGTTGTTACTGACTTAAAATTGGATACACTCAGCTTGGGATGGGCTTTGCATGACATCCTGGGTTTTCTGGGGAGCAGGAAAACACCAGGAAAGCTCCGACTGAGGCACAGCCACCGAACTGCGTCCCCATTGTGCCAGTGCCTGCGGTATTCCCAAGTATTCCTGACCTCGCTCCAACCCCCTGCCCAGCTGGAGCATGTGGAGTGTGCTCTGTATGGAGTGTGCAGCCCGGGGGAATGTGTATCCATGCAGTGCCTGCCAGCTGTGCTGGCTCCCTGCCCTGCAGCTTCCAGGGCCGTGTCTCACTGTCCGTCCAATCTCTGGGGACCAGGATGTGCTCCCATCCCCCTCCACGCATCCTCATCCCAAATCCAAGGGGGAAGAGCTGTCATGGCCCCTGCTGAGCATGTGGTGCTTGGTGGTTCTCCTGGTATGGAAGAGCTCATCCTCCCAGGATGGCTCCATTCAAAAGCAATTCCAGAGTCATGCCCAGTGGAGCGGGGAGAGCGGAACTGAGCTCATAGTGAGGAACTGAGCTCGGAGTAATGTCTTTGCAAGTTCAGCCAACTGAATATCCATGAATTTATAACCAGGTCCTTCAGCACAAAGTTTTCCTTGAAAACAGGGATTTTTGTGTTCTGACCGAGCTGATCGTGACCATCTCCTTGGAATTATCCAGCGCATTCATTTGGAGTGTTTGACTTTGTTTAAAAAGGCTTTTCTCCCTAGAGATAAGAAACTCTGCCTTGGTCATGAGCTGATTGTGGAGCGGCTTCTGTGCTTATCCCCTCGGATAAGAGGCTTTATTATACCAAATTACGGGATAATCTCTGGACACGAAGCCACAGCATCAGATCTCTCCTTCCTTTGCTTGTTTTACCTTTTGATCCAGAGCTGCTCAGACCCATCCAGGGGGTCTTCTTTTCTAGGAATCGCCATCCTGGTGCTTGTCTGGAAAGTTGGCATCAGCCCAAACTGGTTTGTTTTTGGTGGGTTTTTTTTAAAGAACCCTCTTTTCTCCGGCTCAGCTTTTCCAGCGGCCTCACACATTCTTCCTTTTTGCAGTTCCTTAGCCCAAAATAAATGTCTGCTCTCAGCCCAAGGGGCAGAAGAGCCTTGGCAGGGCACTGGTGATGACATCAGTGTCCAGCCTCGGTCCGAGAGGGATGGACAAGGGTGTCCCTCAGCCTTTTCCTCCATCCCCTCTGGGGGGAACTGGCCCTTTCCTTGTCAGACTGATAAATATTCCTGATCTCTGACAGCCCAGATGAGTTCTGCAGCCTGTCTTAAACCTGAGTGTCCATAAATGCTGCTGGGAGACTGCCTCAGTGTAATGCAGATGATATTAAAATGTGATATAATAATAATAATAATAATAATAACAGTAATGTATTTTAATGTTGGTTTTTTGCTTGTGCAAGTAAACAGTGAGGAAAAGGCCCAGAAACTTACTTCTCCAGTTACCCAGGGGTGGAGGCCGTGGTGCTCTTAAGGTGACTGTTGGGGTTTGGAAGCATCTTGAAAGGGGCTGTGAGTTACAAAAATCCTGCTTTTATACCTGTAAGTGGGAACTTTAGGGATGAGGCCTGGCAGAGCATCTGTGTGGGTTTCCCTTCTCCCTCATAAGAGAGAACCAAACCCTTCCATCGTTGTGGTTTGTTGTATAAACAAACCACAGGAGCCTGAAGATTTGTTTCCTCTGTGACATTTTATGTGCTAAATATACCTTTCCTGAAGGAATGGATCTGTCTGGGAAATATGTTGCCGGAGTTTTGCACACTCTGAACGTGAGGTGGCTTTTAACTGCTTTGAAAATCAAATTACTGCTCACTCTGGGTGTTAATTAGGCACATTGAGTGTAACCACAATTAATTTTCCTCAGCGACACAGGGTTTAACCCTGCAAACCACCCCTGAGCCGTGTATTTGCTTGGCTGTGGTTTTCTCATAGGGTCTCTGCATCCTACCCTATACCTGTGCTCTTCAGACCAGTCCTTAAATCCAATTCCCTTTGGAAAATAGCCCCAGTGACCTCGTGGGCAGCCTCCTATTTCTCTCTATTTCCAGAACCACCCTGTTACCACACGCAACTGCTCCTGACCTGGAGATATTGGGGGAGAATAGGAACAAAAAGGGATGAGTGGTGCCAGACTAATAAATAAAAATTCCCCTTGGCTGCTTGGGAGTTTGCTGCAGTGAGGCTTTTTCTCCAAGAGGAGGGATTTCCAAGAAGGCCTGATTTTTTTACCTCAGTGATTATATATGTTGGCACAGCTTCAGTTTGGGCTGGTGTTGAGATCAGATCAGGACTTGCCCTCTGCAATCGGAGCAGGAATCTGGTATCACCTCGTGTGTGCAGCTTTGCTGGTGGCAGGGTAGGATATCCGTGTCCTCTTAGAGCTAAAGCTGTATTTACATCCAAATAAAACCGGGAAATGTGAAATAATGTAGCTGCAGGCTCTGGCACCGCACTCCAAGGGCTTTGTCTGCCTTGGCTGACAAAACGCTCTTGGCTTTTGATCAAAGGAAAGTAAGTGGAAGCCGGTTTTCTCTTGATGTTAAAAAAGCTCCTGACAGAGAGTCCCTGCAAGGCTGGTTGAGAGCCCAGGCCCCGTGGTACGCTCGGAAAACTCATTGAAGGAAAACAGGGAGAACAATGGCAGTGTGGAATGATTTCTGCTGGATGAGGAAATGGCATCCTGATGGCCAGGTTAGTGCTTTGCCTTAAGCAGAGGTGGTGGAACAGCTGCAGTCATTCAAAGAGGTGGTTTGGGGGAAATGCCTACAAAGTGTTGGAAAATCCCGTCCTTTGGCTCTCAGGTGGTGGCACAGCATCCTCGGCTCTGCAGGTAACGGGTGTCTGCTCCTCCTCCAGGTGCTAAACCTGTGCAGGGATTACAGAATTAAAGAATATTATAAAGTGTGGCACAATGACTAATTATGGCTGGTTTGGCCTGGTATTGCAAAACCCATCCGTTATCACGGGGTGCTGGTGGGGATCTCATGGGTGGCTCTGGGCTCGCTCCAGAGGGATGGTCAGTGGGAGTCAGTCCTATGAGGAGCAGCTGAGGGAGCTGGGGTGCTCAGCCTGGAGAAAAGGAGGCTCAGGGGGGACTTTCTTGCTCTCTGCAAATCCCTGACAGTAGAGGGAGGGCAGGGTTGGGCTCTGCCTCCAGGGAATAAGGGAGAGGACAAGAGGACACAGCCTTGAGCTGTGCCAGGGGAGGTTTAGGTTGGACATTGGGAAGAAGTTCTTCACAGAGAGAGTGATCACACATTGGAATGGGCTGCCCAGGGAGGTTGTGGAGTCACCACTCCCTGGAGGTGTTCAACGAACAACTGGATGTGGCACTCAGTGCTCTGGGCTGGGTGACAAGGCGGGGATCGGGCACAGGTTGGACTTGATGATCTTGGAGCTGTTTTCCAACCTAAATAATTCTGGGATTCTTGTGATTAGAGGGCTGGAGCAGCTCTGCTCTGGAGACAGGCTGGGACAGCTGGGGGTGTTCAGCCCAGAGAAGAGAAGGTTCCAGGGAAACCTTAGAGCCCCTTGCTCCCCCTGGAGCTTAAAGGGGCTCCAGGAGAGTGAAGAGGGACTTGGGACAAGGGGCTGGAGTGACAGGACAAGGCGGAATGGCTTCAAACTGAAAGAGGGGGCATTTAGGATGGATACAGGGAAGAAATCCTTCCCTGTGAGGGTGGGGAGGCCCTGGCACAGGTTGCTCAGAGAAGCTGTGGCTGCCCCATCCCTGGGAGTGTCCAAGGCCAGATCCGATATCGCTTGGAGCAACATGGGCTGCTGGAAGGCGCCCCTGCCCACAGCAGGGGCTGGGACTGGACGGCGTTTAGGACCCCTCCCACCCCAAATATTCCGGGATTCAGTGACTCCCCTCTCCCCGCCCCGGCCCCGGGCGGGGCGGTCGCAGCGCGGGGCGGTCCCGCCTCCTCCTCCTCCCGCCCCGGCTCCGTCAGCGCGGCCGCCCCGCCCGCTGACCCCGCGGGCCGGACCCCCCGAGGCCGGGCCGGCCCGGGAGTCCCCCCGGCCATGCAGCCCCGCGCCTCCGGCCCCGCCGAGCCCCGCCGGGTCCCGCCGGGCCGCAGCCGGGCGCGCTCCCGGGGCGCGGCGCTGCTGCCCTCCATGCTGATGTTCGGCGTCATCCTGGCCTCCAGCGGGCTGCTCCTCATGATCCAGCGCGGCATCCTCGCGCAGGTCGGGCCGCCGCCGCCGCACCCGCCCGCGGGGCCGCCGTCCCGCCGGGAGCCGCCCGCGGGGCCGGGGCTGGAGCTGGAGGTGCTGCGGGACACCCGGAACCGCACGATCCGCGCGCTGTGCGGGCAGCGCTCCATGCCCCGCACCGTGTGGGACCTGCCGGCCGGGCAGCGCCGCACCCTGCTCCGGCACCTCCTGGTCAGCGACAAGTACCGCTTCCTCTACTGCTACGTGCCCAAGGTGGCCTGCTCCAACTGGAAGCGCATCCTGAAGGTGCTGGACGGGGCGCTGGAGAGTGTGGACGTGCAGGGGAAGATGGACCACAAGAGCGACCTGGTGTTCCTGGGGGACATGAAGCCCGAGGAGATCAGCTACCGCCTGAAGCACTACTACAAGTTCCTCTTCGTGCGGAACCCCATGGAGAGGCTGCTCTCGGCCTACCGGAACAAGTTCGGGGAGATCAAGGAGTACCAGCAGAAGTACGGCGTGGAGATCGTCCGGAGGTACCGCAAGAACGGCGGGAACTCGGCGGGCGATGACGTGACCTTCTCCGAGTTCCTCCGGTACCTGCTGGACGAGGACGTGGAGCGGATGAACGAGCACTGGATGCCCATCTACAACCTGTGCCAGCCCTGCGCCGTCAGGTACGACTTCATCGGCTCCTACGAGCGGCTGCGCGACGACGCCGACCACGTCCTGGAGCGCATCCAGGCGCCCTCCTTCATCCGCTTCCCCGAGCGCCAGGCCTGGTACAAGCCCGTCACGGCCCAGACGCTCCACTACTACCTGTGCAACACCCAGCGCCGGCTCATCAAGGAGCTCCTCCCAAAATACATCCTGGACTTCTCCCTCTTCGCCTACCCCCTCCCCAACATCACCAGCGAGTTCTGCAGGCAGTGATTCCGGTGGGAATTCCGCCCTGGCTGCAAGGATTTGCTAGCACAGCCGTTGCTGCTGTGTGAAACACGCTCTTCTATGCATTGTTTCCTAATTTTATACTTTGCAAACCCTGTTTTATATGAAATATTCTATATTGCCTTTGCTATTTAGGATACTTTTTGTACGGCTCTGACTTTCCCGTGTACATTTGCCGCTGACTTGAGCACAGTAGCTTTTGTATCTCTATCTTGCTCCAAATCCTTTTTTTAATGGCACAACGTGGAAAACACCCGTAAGGAACCTGAGAAATTCGTATATTTTAAGTATTTTTTCCTCCTTTCCCACGTTTTGTATGAAATGGTGTGTGGTTGAATTGAAATCATAACATGGCAGTTGATGCACTAAAAATCAGCACTGTTAAACTGGTCCTGGGTCAGACAGCAGATGGGGTTTGGGTATAAGCAGAAAAAAAAAAGGTTATTTTATAAACCAGGCCCCATTTATCCTTTGTTTTCTCATTGTAGATGGTGCTTAAATGAGGCTGGTCTTTTTTTTTCTGTGTCAGTAGTACCTCTGGGTTTTATTATTATTATTATTATTATTATTATTACTATTGATAATTATTATTATTTACCATTGAAATATAACTAGGGATAGGATAATACTCCTTTTCTGTGTGATTTTAAGGTTTGAAAGTACAACTATTTACCCAGCATCACGTATCAGATGCAATCTCAAACCATCACACTCTGCTCTTCCCTTTGAATTAAAGCAATACAGACTTGGGATAAGATCAAACCCCATCCTGGTCCTTAGGATGGAAACCAAATCCCATGGGCATCATGCCAGCTCGCAGCCTCGTGGGCCCTGCGTGGAAACCACCGTGGAAAAATCCTTTCCCCAGCCGTGTTTGAAACAATGGCATTTTGGGGATTAGTTCTCCTTCCTTTTATAGCTGTGCACACCCTTTTTGTAGCTCTTGTATTTAATTATGGCTCTGAAATTGTACAAGTTCGGGAGATAACGCAGGATGTTGTTCCTGGGAGGCCGTGTCCTCGTTTCTAATAAAGTTTTTATATGAATTACCCTGTGAGTGCCTTTCCTTGGGATTATTTGTGTTCTTGGAGAGGCCTCTGCCCCTCATGGAGGTGTGATGAATTGGCTGTTGCTGTTGGGATTAATTAGTGTTCTAGTTGCCAGAGCAGCAGTAACAAATGGAGAAGGGACACATCGGAGCTGAACATGGAGAAGGTTATGAGACACAGGGAAATGGGATGAAAAGCAGCCAAATGGGCTCCTAATTGCTGTGGAGTTGGTACAAAGTGGCAGGGATGGGTTATGGAGCTGGTGGCTTCCTGGGACTCATCTCTTAATTGTCCTTCCCCCTTTTTAAGGTGTTTCCTTCAGGATTTGTAAAATTGTCCGGAAGAAGGGCCTGGAGCCGTATCCAAACCCACTGTTGGATTGAGTAGCCCAGGACAGTTTGGGCTGAGGGATTTTTACCTTTCATAAGAGGGATCATGGCTTGGCACGAGAGCAAGGACTGCTGCATTCATGGATTTGAGCTCCTAGCTGTGTCCTGAATCTGCAGCCACCAATCCTGGACAAAAATGGGTAAGAAATTGGCTTTGCTCTCCTTGTGCAAACATTCCTGTCTGTCCCCAGGGGTTTTGGTGCCTGGTGCTGGAAGAGCTGGAGATCTGTCCTGTCCTCCAGCCACAGGCACCAGATCCAGCGGGGAATCGGATTTTATTTCATAAAACAGATGCCGGTGAGGGGGTGTGCTGAGCTGTAATTAAACCTGACATCCAGGTCTCCCTAACTAGGAATAAACCGGTGAGACTTCACTGTCTGTGCTTCTGGGAAGCTGAGGGAACATTTCCTGCTTGTTTGGTGATTGAGTTTTTAATTAAATGTTTATTTCTCAGTAGTTTTCAAGGTTTATGCTGCTTGTTTGTTTATCTGCTGCAACTTCTGTTCCCTATATTAAATTTCAGTCTCTTGTCCCTTTAATCTAATTTATTGTGCACAGAAGGATTTCGCTTTTCTCTGACTCTCTCGCTCCTTTTCTGGGTATCACTGGTCGCTTTTTTCTCTTTAAATAAAGCAAATGGACTCCCACCTCCTTTTACCCTCTGGTAAGGAGGATTTAAATGCGGGTGGAACCTTGTAGCTTGGTCAGAAGTTTGTCTGTAAGTCAGCAAAAATGAGAAATCCATCAGGTTTCCATCACTGGGGCTTCACTTTATCCGTGGCCAATGGCACAATTCCCCAAGGAAGCTTTGGACAAGCAGGAAGAAAAATAAAAGTCACTTCCCTCGGCAGCTGTATCATTTCTTTCCTTTGTCAGGTGTTTCTCCAGGGTAGAATAAATCAGGAGATTCCACAGCTGCCAGCAGGTGCTGGAGGTGGGAGCAGGATCCAGCCATCCTCTGGAGCACAGGGTAAGAGGGGATGGCTGCTGGAGCAGGGAGGAGGGGATTCACAGCAGCTCAGGTACAAACGTGGAGCCAAAGGAAAATGTCTCCAATGGATCTGTTGTGTGCAGAGATATTTTGGTATCCATAGAATCATGGAATGGTTTGGCTTGGAAGGGACCTTAAAGCTCATCAAGTTCCATCCGCTGCCGTGGGTGGGTTTGACAGAACTGTGCCCCAACACACGTGTGGTGGATCCCAGAGTGTCCCTGGACGGGGCTCCTTCCTACTGGAAAGGAGGAAGGCTGAGGTGAAGAGCCCAGCTCTGCCCCTTGAGCTCTGCCCCTTCGCCGCACCCCTCGGCTTTTATCGCGGCTGTTTTGCATGTGAATGAGAACTTCCCCACTTCCTTCTGGGACTTGAATTGGCAAACGGGGAGTTGTTAAAAAACCTCCGCGTCTTGAGCCCCGACAAAGGATGGTTGCCATGGAAATAATGGAAGTTGCATCTCGAGCAAAATATCCCCAAGGCCCAGCGCCAGCGGGACGGAGGAGGGGACACCTGTCGGTCACGCACCTTCTGCCAGGGCCCACGTGCCTCCACGTGGTTTTCCTTGGATACCCTTATCCTTGGCAGTCGGTCCTTTGGGTTAAAAGAGGAGAAATCAGAAATGCCACGGTCGGGTGGGAAGGTTCTGTAGAACCTCAGCTGCTCTCCCTGCAGCGCTGGTGCCACCAACTTCAGCAGGGCTGCCCCACATTTGGGATCCCAAAGGATGTCTGTAGCAGGATTGGGAACCACAGCTGGAATCCCATCTCAGGTAACAGGCAGGAGTCTCCTGCCTTGGTTATATCCAACCTCTTCTCCATGTCAGGGCATTTTCCAAGTCTGTTTTCCATTTGCCTATAAAGACATCGGTGGTGGCTTCCTTTTCTTTGGGGGAAAAAACCACCTTTGGATTTAAACTCACCAAAAGCTTTTCCTTTGCAGACCCAAAACTGCGTCTTCTGTTGCTTTTAGCAAATCTTAACGTGATTTCCAGGCAAGAAACTTGAGGAATTTGCTTTATACCTCCCCAAAGTGCTAATGGGAGCCACAGAATCCTTGCTGAGCTATGAGAGGGGCTAAAATAAATCTCCATCAGGGTTTATCCTCACTGAGCTCTTCAGCGAGGCCCAGGATCAGCATGGGAACTGCACTTTTCCATGGCTCTGGTGAGTGCTATTTGCTGGTGGGAGCTTGGAATGGGGAACAGCAGGGCACTTTGGGGCTTAAACACATCCTTCTGCACTCCTGGAAGCACCGAGGGTTTGGGAAAAGCTGCCAGCAACCAGCAAAATCATGTTTATTGGGGAGCATCAGGTGAGGAGGAAAACAGGGGTGTGGGAACCAGCAGCAACATGAAGGTGCCTGAGGAAACCCCTGCTGAAGGACTTGTAAGGTGCCAGAGTGAGGAGTAAAGGATAAAGGGTGTGGCTGGGCAAGGGCTCAGATCTTCTGCTGGCAGAGGGGTGGAATTGTGGCGATCCAGGCCCGTTTCTAACCCAGGAAAGAGCTGGGCAGGGGGAAACAGCAAAGGCTTGAGATTAAAAATGTAAAACCACAACAAATACATATAAATAGCTGGATCCCCATGCTGTTTACTCATCCCACAACCCCGTCCCACTGCCTGATCATTAGCAAGTCCAAGTGGAGCTGATGAGAGCCCAGTGAGCCCGACTTTGGGGAGAATCCCGGAGTGATTTGGGTGGGAAAGGACCTTAAAAATCATCCAGTTCCACCCCCTCCCATGGGCAGGGGCACCTTCCACTAGCCCAGGTTGCTCCAAGCCCTATCCAGAATCAAGTTGTTCTGTGGGATTGAGGGAGGTGTTCTAGGGTTGGGGGGTGTTTTGGGGCTGGGGGATTGGAAGGAACCAAGTGGCAGCTGCTGGGGATGAGGAGCTGGAGATGATCTGGGTGGCCACAAAAACATCTGGTTTGTGGCAGAGTCCTGTTGGGAAAGCAGGGCTGGGGGCTCTTCCCTGCTGAGTGCTCACAAAGAGCTCCTTGGAGCCAGGACTGGCTCCGGCAGCAAATTCCCAGCACTGACAGGACCGAGCTGCAAAGGCACAAAGTCTCTGCACAGCCCCATCCCAGGCTGTCACATCCCTCCATTCCCTGCTCCAGGCTGGGATGCTCCTGCACAGCCCATCCCTGCCACCCCTCTGCTCTCCCAGGGCTTGGATCCGCCTGGTTTCACGGTGTTTAACACAACCCCATCCCCTCCCCTTGGCTCCAAATTCCAAACCTGCTCTGCCAGAGCGTTATCCTTCCAGGGGGGGAGCTCTGCCAGCTGCTCCCTCCCATCCACAGGCAGCCCCGGAGGGCTCGGCAGAATTCCCCATCCCACAGGGACTGCCGGCAGGAAGCAATCTGGCAGACAACATGTTAAGAGGAGACTGATGTCTCGGAGCCACTGAACCATTTAATTGCCAATAAACACAGCCCACATGTAAATAATTATGGAGACCCAGGAAGGTGGAAGGAAGGAGCTGCCAGCCTGGAAACGCCCCGTGGCAAAGAGAGAAATTAAGATTTCCTGTTAATACAGGAGGGATGAGCATCAGTAAACCTGCCTGGATACCTCCAGGCGTTGCTCTGGGCTCGGGGTGGCCCAGGAGGTGACAGTCCCTGCTGTGGTGAGAAGGACCAGGCTGTGCCCTGGGCTGAGTTTGAAGGTAAATCTTAAAAATTCATCTGTTTGCTTCTCCAAGCTCTTGTTGCGAGCCAGTGGGATTGTTGCAATGCCTTTTTTTGCTGTGTTCTTGGGATAAAGAGCTGCAAGGATCCTAGTCCAGAACTTTGGAGCTTTATCAGCATCACACAGAGGCCCAGCAAGACAGAGCAGCCCATCCCATTCACTCCTTGCCATGGGCAGGGACACCTTCCTCTAGCCCAGCTTGCTCCAAGCCCCGTCCAACCTGGCCTTGGACATTTCCAGGGATGGGGCAGCCACAGCTTCTCTGGGCAACCTGTGCCAGGGCTTTCCCACCCTCCCAGGGAAGGATTTCTTCCCAATATCCCATCTAACCCTGCCCTCTGGCAGTGGGAAGCCATTCTGCTTTGTCCTGTCACTCCAAGCCCTTGTCCAAAGTCCCTCTGCAGCTCTCTTGGAGCCCCTTTAGGGACAGGAAAGGGCTCTAAGGTCTGCCTGGAGTTCTAGGCATCCCCACCACTATGTTTCACCCCCTGAGGTTGCCCTGGTTCCATTCCTGGTTCCTGGAGCAGGAGAGGTGTCACCAGGCAGAGCCCTCCCTCCCGCCACCACCGAGGGAGCCGACTCGGTCCAGCAATTTGGCTTTTCCCAGGGGTTGATAGGTTCCTATGGCAACCAGGAGCCGCTCGGCAGCGCTTCCCTCCCCGGCAATCACAGCGCTCGCCTCCTTTATGGAATTAGCGCCCGGCACCCGGACGCTGCGCGTGGCCTCGGCCTAATTACCCTAATCAGAGCCGGGAGATGGGCTGGAGTGATCTGGGGGTGCAAACAACCACCCACCACCCCCTGCCTGGGACCCCGCTGTGGTGGGACCCCGTGGGGGGTTCTGGAGCATCACCCCGAGGTCTTTGCTGCCAGGGGATGTGAGATGACCCCGTCCCTGCTGCAGGAAATGTCTGGGTCTCCCTCATC